CTGGTGACAGGCATTTCATTTCCTTCGTTTTTAACTGGTGACAGGCATTTCATTTCCTTCGTTTTTAGCTGGTGACAGGCATTTCATTTCCTTCGTTTTTAACTGGTGACAGGCATTTCATTTCCTTCGTTTTTAACACCTTTAAGGGGTTTGAGTTACAAAAGATTTTACAAAATTTTGAGAAGTTTACAAATTTCACAACTTTTTTTTCTAATCATTTGCTTCTCTTGAGCTAAAATTTCAATCCCTGGAAAAGATATTTGCATGAGCGGACTGAAAAATTTCTAGACTTGGTTGACTTTTAAGTGTCGCAACCCCGTGGCCTTTGGGGTTACTGACATACACTTATTTCTAGTCCTAGACATGTCGTTTTTAAAACTAAAACACGCTTGTTTATAGTTTAGTTTAAATGGTTGCATAGGAAAAATGCTGATAGGAGGTCGATTTTTAAAGAATTTTCGAAATCTTAATTTCTTCAACCAGATTTGTATGGAGCATTAAAATTTGAAAAACATTGAGAAAAAAAAAGTTTTCTTTAAATACAATTTTAGTAAGATGAATTTGACTTTTTAAGGGAGTGACCGTCTATTTAAGGTAGTTGAACTGAGCATGCAGTGTTGTGGAAAACTTCTTTCGGATTCATTTGAGACATATTAAACTTTTAAAAGATCTGTAAATCTTGAGTTTGAATGCAAATTCGACGTTCAAAACTCCTACTCTGGGGGTGAATACGTTTTCAGAATTAGTAAAATGTAAAAAGTTCTGCAATAATATGCATAGGAACACGTTGAGAGAATACAAATTTATCTTACCATCGAAAATAACTAATCTTGTTCAATTATTAGTTTCTGTTTTCTCATTATTTTGGTTTCTCATTATTCACAAAGATTTTCTGCAGATTTTCTAGAATTATTTTTGAAAAGACGACATTTTAAGAATTTGAAGAAATCTGCGAATAAATTCAAAGAAAATAAAAAATTCATTATAGCAATGAAAACGAAATAAACGATTTTAGCATTAATTTATTTACAATTTTTTTTTTGAGAAATATGTTCTTAACCATCTAATTAGATTACTGTATAATTTTTACTTTATTTTTCGCTGTCGTTATTTAATAATTTAAAAAACAAATTCTGAAAACGTATTCACCCCCAAAGTAGGAGTTTTGAAGGTCGAATTTGCGCTCAAACTCGGGATCTACAGATCTTTAAAAATTTTAATATGTCTCAATTGAATCCTGAAGAATTTGTCCACTACACTGCATACTCAGTTCAACTACCTTACGTAGCCGGTCACTCCTTTTTAAGACAGAAAACCAACATTTATGCCATTCTGGGTTGGAACAAGTGGTATTTCCAAAATCGACCTCCCAAAGTATGCACATTGCACACTTAGTAGTACTTAGAAATAGAATTTTACACAAATTTCAAGGAAAAGAATAAAGTTTGGTTTTGTGTTTAGGTCGGATGGAGGATAAGGAAGATATGAGAAGAGAAGAGCTTGAGAAGAAAATGAGATTAAAGAAACTAAAAGGGCGGTGACATTGCATTCTCCGCCATCTTTGTATCTCAATTTTTTTTATGATCTACAATCTCAATGGATTAATAAATTTAAATTCTTATTCTTCTGTATTTGTACAAACTACTTGTGGCAAATCATTGTCTATTTTGTTCACAGAGATTACTTTTCTTCTCAACAATAGCCGCAGTACATTATCATGTATAAACTGTAGTACGTGAACATCTATCTACTGCAGTACGTTAGCATATTTCGACCGCACTACAGCACATATCTATTGCAGTATGTTAGTAGAAATCCACTAAAGTACGTGATTTGAAATCCACTGCAGTACGTTCCGTTAGCAGATGTCAACTGCAGTTGGTTAGAAACGTTAGCATATATCTACTGCAGTAGGTTAGCATATATCTACTGCAGTAGGTTAGTATATATATACTGCAGTACGTTAGCATATATCTACCGCAGTACATTAGCATATATCTACCGCAGTACGTTAGCATATATCTACCGCAGTACGTTAGCATATATGTACTGAGTAGAAAACAATTTGTATTTATTTATTTTGATGTATTTAAAGTTTTTTTTTTGAAAACTGCCGGATTCATATTAAACATTTTTAATCAGATTTTTCTATCTTGTTTACTTTTATAAAGTTTGTTTACATTTAATGTTTTGTGTTAAGAACGGATATTTTCTCTGATGTGATAAATTAACACTCATTCTACAGGGTGATTCGCATCTTAGTCCTTCACAAGGACTTGGTAATTTGCATAATTTATAATTTTTTGTTTTGTACAACTTAAATATCAATCTGTAAATAAATTTAAAAAAAAATTTATCCGTTTGTTACTGAATTTATAGGAAGTGTTTTTCATTAATTTTTTATTGTTTTTTGTAGATTCAGAAAATAAATCTTTATAAATGTTAATATTTTGTTATATTTAAACCCTCGGAAGAAAAATGTAATGAAAAAACGATGGGATAAAAAATCCCAAAATTAAATTGTTTTGTAATTGAAGCTTATTCTTTATATTAGAGAATGTTTGCTTTTCACAATTTGCATTATAATGAATAATATTCAGAGACCCCGCAAAGAAAAAAATTGCAATTCTATATTAAAAATCTTAAATGCTTGATACTATATTTATTCTGAAATCTTACTGCATTATAGTTTGTTTGTTTAATAGAAGCAAAAATCTAAATTGATTAAGTGAATGTGATCATTGAAAGCTAAGAATAGATGATAGAAGTGATGGGTCGAGAAATCTTTAGTCCTGTGGATTTCTCAAACCATTCTTATATTTTTATTTAACAAAACTTAAAATTTTACACAATTAAAAAGTTGCACAAAACCTGCCTTCCCCCTATGGCCTCTCTGCATTTTTCATTAAAGGGACTGTAAAGGAAAAATGAAAGGGGATATAGGCTGAAACCTAAGTTACTCAGGAGTTGAGCGACACCCTTGCGAGTTCTATCTCAAGAAATTGATTAAAAAAATTGTGTCAAATTTATACCAAAATCGGTATATACCAAATTTTGTATTTTTTTTGAATTTGATATTTTTTTATTTTTGATAGCTTTAAGTGATAATATAATTATTACGTCCATGTCATGTGACCAGAGTTCTGGTCACGTGATACAAACTCATTTATTATATTGTAGAAGCAAGAATTTGATTCTCTATGAAAGTAAAGAATGCTCGAGAATAATGAGGGAATTCCGGGAACAGGAAAACTGAAATCCATATCAATTATATCTAGTAAAAATGAAAAATAAAAATTATAAAATCATAATGGGAGCAAACCTAAATGACTTAGGCTCCTCTGGGATATCGTCGTTTTCAGATTGGTTGCGTATTTGCTGAATTATAGCTATTTAATCCTTTTATTTTAAATACCAAATTTGGTATAAATTTGACACAGTTTTTTAGATCAATTTCTCAAGCAGGAACATAAGATAGAACTCGCAAGGGTTTTGATCAAGAACAAATTGTAACTTAGGTTACAGCCTATACCCCCTTTCATTTTTCCTTTACAGTCCCTTTAAATATCTTATTTCTGTGATTTACTTAAATAAATCAACTTTATTCATGGTACCGCATGGTACGGCAACTACTCATCCGACCTACGGGAAACTGATCTAAGTGGTTTCCGACCTAAAATTCTAAATCTTATAAATTAGGTTTGGTTAAGTATAGTTTAGCAAGTGTAGGTGAAGTTGGATGGGGGTTAGACGAAGAAAATATCTGGGGAGTTTAAAACTACTTTATAATTAGTTTGGATAGAATGTAGGTTGGTTTTCTCTGGTTCAGTTGACAAGCGTCACGACGGCATGGTACGCCAATCAGTTTGGTACAAAGACAAGTTTATATTCTAGATACTTGGTTAGACTGATCCTCTTATTGAACTTAAAACACTGCATTTATTACAGCAAAAACTTGAGTTCTAAACCATTTTTCTCTAAAGCCGATTATTTTTGTAAAAAGAGAAACCAAAATAAATAAATTCAAGTTGCTTTATGAGATAAGAGGACATGACATTTTTTTCATCTCTTTCATCTGGAACGGTCAACTATTAAAGTTTCTGCTTTCTAAAGTGGAGATAAAGATTCTAAGAATCCTAAATAAATGTTGCACCATAGTTTGCATTTAAGTAAAACGCAATCATATTAAAACTTACAAGGACAATTTACAAAGTCTGACCAAGCTAAGATTTTAAGATATATCCAAGTTTTGTATACATAAAATTTCCAATTTCTAATTATGGTTTCTCTGTAAAAAAAATTATTTTTGCGGATTCAGGAAATATAAAAGATTACAGAGTTCAACAAGCTGAAGTTTGGAAGAAGACCTCCTTTAATTAAAAGATGTCAAAATTGTCAATTAAGATTTGAGATTTTCTAGCTGAAGTGCCTGGCGTTGCCAGTGGAATAAAAAAAATAGAATTTTGAAGAAAAAAAAATTATAATTAAAATAGATTTATTTTGCCTTTTACCTCCGGGGTACTCAAAGGTTCTCTAAAAAAATTCCGCCCATTCGGTCCAATCGTTTATCCAGCTATAGTTAACATATTTGTATACAAACAAATATATACATATACATGAGCGAAGAGCTTTATTATATAAGATTAAAAATTGAATAGATCAAACAGGGGCGTAGTGGAGGTTTAGCCATGGGCCGGGGGTGAACTTTCGGCCGACTTTTTTCTTGTGCACCCCCCAACGGTTGATGTGAACTCCCTCTAAAACCCGTATTCAGTAAAACAATTAAATCTATATTAATCTACCTGACTTTTAGTCATCTGACCATTATTACCAATCATACCATTATAAAATCTAGTAGTAAAAGAGCAAAAAATCTATACCTGAAAAAACCTATAATGATATACCCTGAACGAAATTAAGAACCCCCCTTTCCCAGGATAGTATGGTTTAAAATAATTAAATATTATTATTTTCGTCGTTTTTGACAAACGAAATCCATGGGGGGGGGGGGTGTTAAATGAGATTGATTTTCTAGACGCCGCCCTTTTAATAAAAATGGTTCATTTTAGGATTTTTAAGCTATTGAATACACTTCCTAAAGGATAGTATGGTTTAAAATAATTAAATATTATTATTTTCGTCGTTTTTGACAAACGAAATCCAAGAGGGGGGGTGTTCAGTGATATTGGATTTCTGGCGCCCCTTTCGATAAAAATCTATGAGCTATTGAAGACACTTACTAAAGGATAGTATGGTTTAAAATAATTAAATATCATTATTTTCGTTGTTTTTGACAATCTAAATCCAAGAGGGGGGTGTTCAGTGATATTGCTTTTCTAGGCGCCACTAATGATAAAAATGGTGCATTTTGGATCTTTAAGTTATTAAAGACACTTCCTAAATCTAAAGGATGGTATGGTTTAGAATAATCTAAAATTATTATTTACTTAGTTATTGACAAATTAAATCCAAGAGGGGGGTGTTTAGTGATATTTTTTCACTTGACGCCCCTGAAGAAGTATTTTTTTATTTATCGTTTCAAAGAAATTATTAAATTTATTTATTTATTTATTAATTTTGCATTAATGGCACTGATTCTTCTTCAGTTTCAGGAGTCTGATGTGCATCAAATGGCCCCTCTGAATGTTACCTTTTAGCCCCTGAACCATACAGGGCTCCTCCTGCAAGCTGAATCGTTCTTAATATGCCTTTTTGTCATGGTCTGATATTCTATAAGACCTAAAATCTTGAAAACAATAATGACATATCTGCAAAAAAAATATCTAAATATATATATAAATACCTGTTTTGGGCCCCACACACCCTTTCTTTGCCCCCGAGAGCGTCCAATATCATATTGGATTTTTCCAAGCTTTCACTGCCAAATACACACAATGTTAACCTTAAACATTAAACAACCGTTCTTCATGATTTCATTATTTTCCATTTCTGTTTATTCTACAAAATCCAATACAATGTGTGACACCCTGTATAATATGTATTTTAAAAAACTTTTCTCGCGAAGAAATTTAAAAATATTTTTTTTTCTTATTTTGCATGATAGTACAACAAAATTGATGAAACTATTTTGATAATAACAAATAAATGTTTATTTTGGAAATGAAAATATCTATCATAAGCAAGACAACTAAAATAAAGAATCATGTTAGGCGCGTGATGAATAATAGGGTTTGTGTGCTAGATATGATCGGAACAGGTTTCGAGACGAGCCTGATTTTGATGATAGAAGTATGGAGAACAATAGATATTCTAGTATAATGCAGGAGGAAGTTCGCTCTGCTCGGATAGGTAAACTTTTCTACAACAAATTTACAAATAAAAAATATATTTTTAGTTTGAAGAGACTTTTACAAGCCTGGCCTGTAACTCTGCCCTGGAAAATTTCCCCCTTGTTTACAATCTTGGTTTTTGTTTTGATAAATGTAGCTTTTAACTGGTGACAGGCATTTAATTTTCTTCGTTTTTAGCTGGTGACAGGCATTTCATTTCGTTCGTTTTTAGCTGGTGACAGGCATTTCATTTCCTTGGTTTTTAGCTGGTGACAGGCATTTCATTTCCTTCGTTTTTAACTGGTGACAGGCATTTCATTTCCTTCGTTTTTAGCTGGTGACAGGCATTTCATTTCCTGCGTTTTTAGCTGGTGACAGGCATTTCATTTCCTTCGTTTTTAACTGGTGACAGGCATTTCATATGCTTCGTTTTTAGCTGGTGACAGGCATTTCATCCCCCTGATAAGTATTAATCTCCCCTTAAACAATATGAAGATCCCCCCCTGATAAGTATTAATCTCCCCTTTAACAATATGAAGATCCCCTCCCCCTGATAAGTATTAATTTCCCCTTTAACAATATGAAGATCCCCTCCCCCTGATAAGTATTAATCTCCCCTTTAACAATATGAAGATCCCCTCCCCCTGATAAATATTAATCTCCCCTTAAACAATATGAAAATCCCCCCCGATAAGTATTAATCTCCTTAAACAATATGAAGATCCCCCCTGATAAGTATTAATCTCCCCTTTACCCCTGAACAATGTAAAGACCCCCCCTGAGAAGTACTGGTCTACACCCCTGATTAATACTTAGACCCCCTCCTTGATGAGTAATGATTAATTAGCTGCCCCTGAACAATAACCCCCAGATAAGTTATGAATTTCCCCTGAAGAAACACCTATAAAACACCTACTCCTAGCCTACCACGCCTACATGTACCAATGCCTGAAATAAAAAGAAATCTGTAAACTCCTTTAGTTGGTTTATAGTTGAACTAAGATGAAGTGCTTAATTCTGTTTCTCATTCTTTTTGTTGGATCCTCATCTGGATTCTTCTTCGGGTAAATTGTTGTAGAACACTACAGATTACAGTGATAACCAGAAAACTGTGGAATAAGAAGACGACATTATAGAAATACTTAAGTGCATTTGATGTTTTTAAAAAGGAAATTATAGTTTGAATAGTAACTTATTAAATCAGTTATTAAGTTAAATGTTGCTGTTGAGTGTTAACACTGCACATATGTTGTGTTTCGTGAGAGCCATGATTTATTGGACTATAATTAAAGCCATAATTAAAGTCTAAAAGTCGTTTTCCTGTTCTAGAGTTTTCTGTTTTTTTATGTACAGGAAACCAGATGAAGTTTTTATTTTAATTCTAGCAAAACTTTTCGTTTGAACTTGACCCCTTTTAATACTAATTGATATTATCAAAATTAATACCACACGATAAAAATATTTTACAAAGGAACAATAGTTTTTGCCATAAACTAAAATGTTCTACAAAAAATTCTTATGTCTTTGCAACCTGATGGTGTAAACTTTTGATTTCACTTGAGACCATGATCATTGCATAATACGAACCAGAACAAGCATTGACCGGTTTAGTGTTCACAATTTGACCAGCTCGTCAGTGAACCCAGTATGTGGTTGACCCAACCCGTTTTATGGTTCTTACAGAATTCATAGTTTAAAACATCAAAGGTCTACGAAATCGGGTTGCAAATAAATAGGATTTTAAAATCAGAGTTTGTAGCAAGAACTCTGTTTTTGAAATGGATTTATAACATTGTAACTTTATTTACAAATATTTAGGCCAAGATCTTGCAGATCTGACAGGGAATGTCCTGCTATTAGAAGGTGAAATTAAATTAGTATTAAAGGCTTAATATGTCGAAAAATATTCGATGGTGATTGCTACTAATCTTACTTGTATCTGTTGCGTCTATAAGAAGAAAATTGCTAAAAACGACTCATATCGAAGAACGTAACGTCCATACAAATTCAGAGAGTTGCAATATTCGAATCGGAATTTGGATCGAAAAAAAAACAATTTAATTTTTAAAAAATCATTCAGATATAGCAAGTTGATATATTTTATAATATTTTTCATTTTTTTTCTAAATTAATATTTCGCTTACAACTTGTTTTCACGGCTGGCGCTGGATTTTCGAAAATTCCAGGAAAATATATGAATGTCGTCTTCATCATCAAAACTTCTCGAATCAGGAATGAATGTTTTCATAAGTAATTCTAGGATCATAAAAAATAAAAAATATTATCAATTATTGACTATATACGAATGTGTCGAAAAAAAGCGATGATTATAGGTTGTAATATTTGAATGATTTGTTTGGAATTAAATCGATTTTTTATCAAAGTATGAATCCATTTTAGATGAAAATATTGACAATTATTACTTTACCGTTCAAGGGAAGTTGCCAATAAAAAAGCTTTTCTTTGATTACTTTTAAACTGTAATTCGAAAAAGCTTGTTAAGAATCAAAACTTAAATAAAAATTTTTCATTGTCTTAATCTTATTGCCTACCCAAAGTCCTTGGACTGTCCCAGGCTTTTTGGTCTCTGAGATTGAAAAATGAACCCCATGGTGTTGGAACTCTGGGTCTTTCGGACAGTCTCAACGTCCCGGGCTTGCGGGACAGTTCCAAACCCCGTGGTGTTTGGACTTTGACTAAAAATAAAACCCCAAAATACAGGGTGTCCCACGAAACATGACAATAGGAAGACGACTTGAAAGTCGTCTTTGGTATTTGAATTTATTTGTGACATTTAGTCTTCTATCTACTTTAACTTGCATGATTCTTGAAACAATTATCACATAATTCTCCTAGCCCTGGCATTTCCAAAAAGTGGTCTGCGTTTTTTGTGCTTTCAATATTACCGGAGATATAAAGAGTTTGGTTCAGATTTCAATTTTGTTAAATAAAAGCAAAATTGTCGAAATCTGAACGAAATTCTTCATATCTCGGGCAATATTGAAAGCACAAAAAAGGCAGACCACATTTTGGAAATGGCAGGACAAGGGAAATTTTGTGATTATTATCTCTAGAAATTTACTTCTAAAATTAGATTGACAAATATACGCAGCAAATTATATCAAAAATCAAGACGACATTCAAGTCGTCCTGCATACTGTCATGTTTCGTGGGACACCCTGTATGTTAGGACTCTGGGTCTTTAGGACAGTCGCAAAAACCCAGAGTCCACATGTAAAAGGTTTGATTTTCTTGAAATAGTTTGACAAAAAAATAAAACCCCTTGGTGTCAGGACTCTGGGTTTTTGGGAAAGTCCCAACGGCCTGGGACTGTCCCAGGCTTCTGGCACTCTGACAAAGACCCAGATATCATGAGCCTGTCCCAGGCACTTGGGTCTCTGAGATTGGGAAAAAAAGAAAACCCCATGGTGTTGGGACTCTGGGGTTTTGGAACAGTTCCAAAGTTTCAGGACTATCTCAGGCTTCAGGGACAGTCCTAGAGTACCGAGCTTGTCCCGGGACCACGGCCCGCTTATATGTATGCTTCTATCTACCGATCTATACTATTCTGGGCATGTGTACATGTAACTTTGTCGGTGGGCTACGCAGCTGTTATATCTCAGTGGACCCTAGATTTTTTTAGGAAATTTCTAAAACCTCTGAATAGCAAATTTTAGGTTTTATTATAACAAATTTTTATTCTGGCTATTGTTCATTCTTTAAAAATAATTTGTACTTTTAAAAAAGTTTGAAGTGAAGTTCAGGGTCCAGATTAGAGAAGAACTTTGGTAGATAGTGGGCCCTGGAGTGAGCAGAAATGAGATACTGTAGCTAAAATCTTGTGAACTTAGCATTTTCTTCAAAGTGTTGGTAGTATCAACGGCGCCTTGTTTTCAGAATTCCAAAATGGGGTCTGCCTTTTTTGTACCTTAAGAATTGACCAAGATATTGAGAAATTTGTTTAAAATTCAAAATATTAAATATAAGCAATTAGGTTGTTTAAATCTTTAGTATCTCCAACAATTTTTATAATACAAAGAAGGAGGCTCCAGGGTCCAATGTCTAACGTACTGCATAACACCCCAGCGAAAAAATTACATCAAACCTTGACTATGATATATCCATTCTATTACATATCCATGCCCGGGACCGTCCCAAGTTTAAAAATTTGGATTTAGAACATGCTGTCTAGACATCACCAAACCTCATAGAGTAAATAAAGCATGTTAGTTCCACATTTTATTAAAAATATATCTTAAGTGTTGACCCTCGTCAGTTCTAACGATATGATAACCATCAAAATCAATAATAAAAAATCGGGGAAAATGTTATAAACCACAAAAAAATAAACAAACAAAAAAGATTATTTTTAAAAGGTACAGTCAGATGTAAAAAGGGAAACGAACTCAAATAATGATATGTAAAATGATAATTTGCTAATATTTACCTTTGAAAGAATAGTTAAAGACAATTATTATTCCAATTGAGACTGTTTCTGTCAAATAGATTCAAACCAAACTGTTTAAATGATAAGTATAAAGTTAATGTCTAATTGATCTAATTATACGAACTTTTACGGAAATTGGGTAGGATGGTGGTGGCGGCAGTTAATGGAATACATATATTGTAACGGTACAGTTTTTAAAGGGAGGGACTGGCTAGTGGCTAGGTTTGTTAGTTGAACTGAGAGTGCAGTGTTAGTGAGAAATCTTTTAGGATTCATTTATTTTTTTTCGTAAAAATGTCTCATTCGACTTCTATATCTTCCCCTTTAAATAGGAGATCATCAGTAAGCAGTTTTCTTGGCTTGTTTCAAACACGAGTTAATAACTTTGGTGGGTTTTCCTCGAGCGGAAGGTCAGTAAATGAGTTTTAATTAAAGGGACTGGCGTTGGTATTTTAATTGACACTCCATTCAAAAAGAGGGACATGTCCGATTCACAAAGTCATTATTTGGCCTTCAATGAAATATGAATAAAACCATATTGTTTTTAAAAATTATGAATGTGTCCATTTGTAATTACAATTTAATTACAGAATAGCAATTTTTTATTAAAACTTAGACAGGCGCTCATGTGAATTTGCTATGCACAAAATAATCTCAATTTTACCTCCTTTTGAGCTTGTCCAACAACACCGGTTTAAGATTCCCTCAACAGCAATATGTTTAGCTTCCTAGCTGTCCCTTGGGACAATTAGGAAAAATAACATCCTTCTCTGAAAAATTTACAGAAAAAATCGCGCCTTTCAGTAAAATTGTTTTAGTGCTTTTTCGCAAAACAATTTCCTAAACTTCTCTGTATAATAAATATGATTGGTTGATATAATTTGTAGAATAAGAAAAAAAAGTTATTAGAAATAAAGGGGTACTCTTAAATCAATAATTATCAAATTTATAATATATCTAGATGTTTGGCACAAAAAGATGGACTTTGTCAGCTTGGAAGTAAGTTAGGATAAAATAATTTTAGTTATACATTTTTTTTTATTAATTTCATTCAACTTTATTTGTAACAAATAAGATATTTTGAATTTTAAATTTTAAATTTGGTAATTTTAACAATCTCTGAAATGAATGATGTGCATTATAATAGAATTTTTTTATCATTAACGTTCTAGAATTTTAGAACATCGTGTAACATGTAACTTTTTAAAACATGTCAACTTAAGTTTCTGGAAGGAAATTAATTGTAACTCAGTTTTGGCGGTAGAGAAAGGGTAGGGGGCAGAGCATGAGCCCCGCAAACTGATCTCCGGAGCCTCCTGATTCGCATAATGGCCTCCTAGGCAACAACTAGCGAATCAAAATCGTCTCTGTACCTCATGCTACATCTGCCAGGCTCACCAACTCTGTTTTCATGTCTATAGCAATCCGATATTAAATATCGAATATTTGGCTTTTACATAGACCATAAACCTTTTTTTTTTTAATCTCAACATGATCATGGAAATTCTTTATAGTATTAAAACGTCTACTTTGTATTAAAACGTCTTACTTTCATTAATATTAAGACTCCACACATTGTTTTTCTAAATTCCACTAATTCCTAAACTTGTGCATAACTATTACAGCTTTATATAAAGTTAGACAATTTTTATATCATTTCACAGTCTTAATTCTTATATAAACCAATTGACAAAACATTATAGTTTTTGTGAAATACTTAAAAATTAAATACAATAAAAGACAAATTTAAGTATTTCATAAAAACTAATATGTTTTGTGAATTGGTGATCATATAGCTAGCTAGATTCTGACATACGACTATGAAATGATATAAAATTTGTCTAACTTTATATAAAGCTGCAATAGTGATGCCCATCGCACACAACACAAGTTTAGGAATTTGTGAAAGTTAGAAAAACAAAATAAGAAGTTTAAATCTCAATAAAAGTAGACTTTTTAATACAAATTGTTATTGTACCATTTAAGACTTTATGATCATGTTGAGATTAAAAAAAAAGTTTTGGTGGATGTAAAAGCAAAATATTTGTTACCAGGCTTTTAGGGCGCTTCGCGCCCATCTTCCATTTAAATTGTGAACATGTCGTTTTTTTTACATTTTAAAACAAAGAAAAAAAAAATTTGCGGATTTTCAAGAAATTAAAATTTTTTACAAAATTAAAAACATGTAAACACATTTTTTAAAATTTTTTATCATTCATAAACCTTCTCTGTGGTCACGTGATGTCCCACAAAAAATTTGGGCCCGATCGGTTCAGGCTTTTTGACGTTTATTGGATACAAAAAAACAAACAGACACCCAGACAGACAAGCCAAATTTATATATAAATTGGATATCGGATTGCTGGACATGAAGACAGAGTTGGTGAACCTAAGGTAGAGGCATGGAGATAGTTTTAATTGGCTAATAGTTGGCATTCTGCAAAACAAGAGGCTCCAGAGGACAGTTAGTGGGACTCGTGGATGCTCTGCAACCCTTCCTAGCAGAGATGTCAATGATGGCGTAACAAAACGTTAAATGTACATTTTTTTCGTATTTTACAATGATAGAAAACGTTTTATGTAATATGAACTTCTTGGGAACTTTTACCAACACTATTGTTTTACATACATTAAATAACGTTACGTTTATGTTATGTCATTTCAAAAGTGTGCAACTTAAAGTTTTAAGCGTTAAAAACTTCTGATGAACACCAGCGAATCTTGACATCTCTACTTAGCAGTCCTAATTTTCCTATAAAGTGCAGTACAGTATTCTATAGATAAAGTTATAATGGTTTCCGGAGTCTGGACATATTTAATAAAAAGCTGAATTTCATATGCTGTGTTTAAACTTAGTCAACATTAAAGTATTTCTTGCTGTTCCCTAAATTTTGTTACCTAAAAGGATAAGATTTTAATGACGACAATAACATCACTTTGAACCTGACAGTTTGAAGGTTTAGTTAGGACATCTGCCTTAATTCTGTTGAGTCGTCTCTGAAGTCTCATCCTTTGTGGTTAACCTTCTATAAATAAAATCCTCCAAAACTGTCGTCTTTAATTTAGATTTCTTGGGGGGAGGGAGGAACAGCTGTAATGTGCGGCGCTGCGCAGAATGTTTCTCTGATCTAGATTGCAGTGTATGTCAAAATTGTAACAGAAATATTTGCTCTGGACAATGTACTACATGAAATATATTTGTGTATATATTAATCCAAGATAACCATGTTTCTCTGATCTAGATTGCAATAGATGTCAAAATTGTAACAGAAATATTTGCTCTCGAAAATGTTACTCTTACACTCCAACTCCTGTTTTTGCTAAATAAAAGAATTTTTGTGTAAAATAAAGCTTTCTGTTCTGAATATTTTAATGTTTTTGACTTTCAAATAAAAACTATGCATGATGTGAATAAATTTCTGTGTCGAAATAAACAAAGAGCTTGGTAATATAAAGAGTAGGCATTGGGATTTATACTCAAACCCAATTTAATCAAGAAGCCACAGAATATCATCTTTTCCATAAATTAAAGGAATATAGAACTTTTCAAGCATATCTCTCACTAAAAATTAGCTTTTTTACGTAATTTGCCATTAGAAATGCATAACTTTATTATCTTTGCGACATAATCTTTATCTTAAAACAGATTGCAATATTTGGTTTGACATTTTTTGGCCACTTTAAACCAAGGGTTTTTTTGGGGCCTTACGCACTGTTACTGGCCTAAAATTCTGTTCTAGACCTAAAGAAAACTATACTAACTGACATGTTGTTTTAAAATATGTGGTATTTTTCATACAAATGAAATGCTTAACAAAATCACAATTTTATCTTTATTTTAGCAGGAGAACATCTTATTCTTATCCTATAAACGATTAAACAAAATTAGAAGTTTATAATCGTGTAGTTAATTTCCGGCCATTTTTAGCACCTAAAAATAATTAATTTATTTGATAACTAGATACATCAAACAGACACAGAACAAACAATAGACTGAGAGAATATCAGAAATATGAAGACGACATTTAAAAATTGTTTTTTTATTATTCCTGCGAGGTGGGGTAAGCATTGCAAGGTGGGGAAACCAATTTTATTATGAGCCACTTTTAAGAAAATAAAAATAATTGATTCAGAGAATATAGATAAACAACAAATATTTTAGAACAAAATTTAGTTATAGTTTATAAATTATAACAATTAAAATGCTTAACTCCCTTAGATTTTTGAACTGAAGATTTATTATACAGTCCTAACCAGAAAACTCCGAAATAGGAAGACGACTTTATAGCAAATAAGTGTATATAGCAAGTGTATTTGATATTATTTTAAAGCAAATAATTTAACTAGACACTAATTAAATCACAAATGAAGTGAAATGGGTCTGTTTACACTGAATAAATTCTGTTTTACGTGCTCATTGGACTATCTAAAGTCATAATTTAAGCTTAAAAGTCGTCTTTCTATTCCAGAGTTTTCTGGTTATCACTGTATAATATATATTAGATAATATGAAAACAAAAAAGGCCAAATATACACACTAAGTAGTTTTTGCTGTACTGAAGATTTTTAATATCACAATTTCCTACCAATCATCATGGAAACATCACATAGATTATAGATTTTATAGATTTTAATAAATAAAAATAATGATTATATCTTAATGTAAGAAAGTAAACTTAATCTATATATATATATATACTTTGCTTGTATGTTTGGGTGTCTGTATGGGTGTGTCTTTGTTTGTATCCAGTAAACGTCAAAACGATTGAACCGATCGGCCCAACTTTTGGGTGGGACCTCACATGGCCCTAGAGAAGGTTTATGAATGAACAAAATTTGAAAAAATTGCCTCCATCAAATAAATTAAAATCCGTGAACTTTTTTTGTTTTGTTTTCTAATGTACACAAAGAGAGCATGTTCCCATTTGAAATAGAAGGTGGGCGCAAAGCATCCTAAAAGCCTAGTATATATATAATCAAAAAGAAAAACAAGGAACTACCTATACAGCTTGGAAGACGGTAATATAACGTCTTGGATTGACACGCAAGTCGGAGAATTCGGACGTCTGCAAGACTTATATTTACACTACTGTGGTACGTCTGATTCAGACAGAAAAGACGTGCTAATTGATGGTGTTCAACTTCAATGGTGTCAAATTCCTAATGGCCTGCTTATAGAGGGGTTCATTCCAGTTCGCCTGTACTTATCTCCCCAACAAACAAAAACCCGTGAAGAACACAAGATTATTTGGTTTATTTCACACGAGTGACCCGTCAATATCCCGTAATAATTCACGTGTTGTTGAGGTGATTGTTGACGATTTGATCACGGGTCTAGGACCGTGTTTTTACACGGCGAAAACTTGAGTTTATTTCACGAGATGAACACGGGATTTTTACATGGGAAAATTATTTTTCTCCCATCTACTTTAATTACATTTTTAAAAACCCCGGGAAAGGGGGGGGGTACATAACTGTTTTCTGATATATAAATATTTATAAACTATACTGTGTAAAAGTATATAATTATTACAAAATGTTTAGAAACTAAACATTTTAGTTTATATCTTTTACATGAAACATCTTGAACATGTAAACTTTAAACTTTTCTTATCACAAAGTGATATTTCAAGTCTAAATAATGTTCAATTATGTTTATGTGTTCATGATTATATGAATTCTCCTTCCTGTATATATCTAAAATATCGATATTCCAAAAAGGGGTTGTTGAGAAATGCAATACAAAATTCAATGTGAAACTTTTCTATACTATGCTCATGCTTGTTATAATCTGAAAAATTTATGTCAGTTGAAATATTTCATTTTACTACAATAAACTTTTAGTTTCTAAAAGATGAGCAGAGACACCAAGTGTTGTGATTTTGCAACTCTGTTAAAAATGAAAGATGAAATTCTTCCCGTGATATTTCAAATATTTTACGCGTGATATTTACAAGAATTAAAATCTAGATAATTCTGGCATTCCATTACTCATGATTAACACGTTTGGAATATGCGAGAGCTTGCACTGGTATCTTTTCTACGAGCAAAACATGAGAAAAAACTACGAGAATTGAACTATAGAATAATCTCAAATATAGTACACGTGATAATTACGGGAATTAAAATCTAAAAATTCTGGCATTGCATTACTCGAGCTTAACACGATAGGAATATGCAAGATTTTGCACTGGTTTATTTTGCTACGTGTACAACATGTGAAATAACAACGAGAATTTTCAAAGAATATTTTCGCGTTTTTTACCCGTGCTGTACACAGGAGGAATCTTCAAGATTGTAAAAAGTAGATATACCACGAGTATAACACAAGGAGGGTACGTGAATTAATCACGTGAATTATCAACCAGTTCTCCATAATGCTAATCTCGTTGAAAACCTGTGTTTTGTTTGTTGGGTCTGTCTGTTCGTTGCGGCGCCACATGTTTTTTCAGTTGCATCTGTTTTCAAGCTGTTATCCAACCCCCACCCCCCCCTCCCTACAACCATCACTATCTGCATCTTCCATCCGTTGTTTATATCTTTTAAGAACGTCTTCATTTGCGTCTTCACCCCGTCGATTATTTAATATTATTATTTATCCCCCCACCCACCAAAAAAATTCCCTTCACAGGACGTCCTGAGAGCGTCTCAAAAAAAGCATATTTAGGACGCCTTGAGACGCCCTGGCTGGTTCTTCACAAGACATGCTGTCAAGTCGGGACGTACCCCAAAATTTTTAACTTTAATAATTTATTTTAATTAAATTTTACAATATTTTTAAATTTTAATATGATATCAGATGGAAACATTTTGAGACTTCTATATTTCTTGTTTTTAATCCTTTCTTCTTGATCTTCCATTCCTTGTCCATCCTTCAATCACACTATGGCTAATTTTGAAAGTAAAAATAAATGAATTTTTTGGATGTTTTCTGCAGCTAGCCAAATTGCAGAGGTAGAACTATTTTTTGAAGCCCTGTATCTATATTCTATTTATTGAGAGAGCAAGGTTACTCTTCCCCTTGTTTATATTTAAATTTTGCTTCAGTCATGATAAATTGTTGAGTCATCTATTGCATTCCTAGCTTTTCTTGGAGGGGGAGAGGGGTGAGGGGGACATTTTCCACATTTTCCAGTTTTTTTTTTATCTCGAGTAGGACATAGAGGGGGGGATGGGACGTCTGCCATCCTGTGTATTCCCCTTCTAATTTTTCCTGTTCAAAGTTTTCTTCTTCTTTCTTGTTTATCTTGCTTTAAGCACCAATCTCTACTGTCAAGAGATTTCCCTTCCACTTTTTTCTGTTCAATTTATTTTTTCTTCTTGCTTCTTGTTTCTTGATTTTACATAAGGCCTTTCCAAATAGTTCTTTTAACATCGAGTTGTGGAGCAGGTAGGAGAGAGATAAGGAGGTTTGTAGGAAGAAGGGTATAGGGGATTTCTCCCTGTGTTCCTTCATTTTATACTGTTTCCCAGTTAGGGGAATTAAGGAATTTACCCATAACTGCACCCCATATGCAAAATGGGGAGTTGTGATCCCTGAAAGCTCTCTTGAGAGGTATCTTCCATGGTAGTCCAGTCCTCACATCTGGTCGAGTAAAAAACCGGTATCATTGTGCATGGCTTGTATTCCCACGAGGGGTTAAACTCCTCTTAAAGTGAAGCAAGCTGAAGATGAAGTTTTGTTTTAATCTATGTACAATTCTTGCTTCCCCTGTAGGATACTAGATGCATAACTAATCACAGCGCTTCCCCAGCTGCAATTCTGGGACCGCATAGTAGGTCGGTTCTGCTAGAGAGAAAGCAGGCAACTGGACGTACCCCAAAATAAAATAAACTTTTTAGGAGGGTAAAAATTACCCCTTCAAAAAATATTTTTTTTAGGGAAACCTGTGTATGTAGCATTTTCTGTTGTAATGATTAGTACAATCTTTATTATCCATGTTATTAATATCTTATCTATTTCAATGTTGACCCTGACCGGCCAATCCGGTCAGTGTGATTTACCTGTATATAAATAAATTAGTACTACATGAAACGTTTTGTTATACGGACGTACCCTAGAAACCAGCGACGTCGCGCGTCCAGTCCCATTAGGTCGAGATAGGTCAGGTTAGGTTGTGTTATGTCATATTACAAAATTGGACGCAATATGACCAGTCCCCTTAGGTCATGTTAGGTGAGGTTAAGTCGGGTTACGTCAGATTAAAAAACTGGTTGGAACATGACCAGTCCCCCTAGGCCGTGTTTGGTCAGGTTAGGTTGGGTTAGGTTGAGTTACCTAACTGTTCTCATACTGGTCTTAACCTGACCAATCGACTTAGGCCAGATTTGGTCAAGATTGGTTGAGTTATGTCAGGAGACCTAA